AAACCCCTAAATGTCTACATGAATACATTTCTGACATGTCACTGTATACTGCAACAATATAGTAAAATAAATAAATGAATGTGTACCTATGGTCAAAATATAGTAATATACAGTCATGGCCAAAAATATTGGCACCCCTGCATTTCTGTTACATAATGTACCAATTCGCCCAGAAAAGTCTTGCAATTACAAATGTTTAGGCATTCTCATGTTTATTTCTTTTGTTTGTATTGGTATGACACAAACATGTGCAGAAGCAAAAAGCCAAATCTCACACATTCCACACAAAACTCCAAAAATGGGCTGGACAAAATGATTGGCACCCTCAATTTAATATTTGGTAGCACACCCCCTTGTAAAAAATTACTGAAATCAATTTCTTCCTGTAACCATCAGCGAGTTTCTTACACCTCTCCACTGGCTTTTTGAACCACTCTTCTTTTGGCAACTGATCCAGGTCTCACAGATTGAAAGGGTTCCTTTTTCCAACTGCTGTTTTGAGATCTCTCCACAGGTGCTCTATGGGATTGAGATCTGGACTCATTGCTGGCCAGTTCAGTACTCTCCAGTGCTTTGTCTGAAACCATTTCTGGGTGCTTTTTAACATGTGCTTTGGGTCATTGTCCTGCTGTAAGACCCATGATCTCTGGCAGAGACCCAACTTTCTGAGACTAAAAAAATTGTTGAGGTGGTGGGAGCTACACGATACCATCATCCCTTGGCGTATTGCATATAGGAAAGTATTCTCCCCTGGAGATGGGACTTTAAAAAGGCGGCACCAGCCAATGAGCCAAATATCGAAAACAAACACATTATCTAAAAAGTAGAGGCTGGGTGGAGTAACTGGACCTTTAACACTTCTGGGTTGGAGTGGATGCATAATCTGTCTTTGTGCCTATTTAGGGAATTTCAAACATATACTTGGAGCATATATAGCCCTTAGGGGGGCTACAGCATCCAGACGTCACATCTAGGGCAGGGCTCAACAAATCCCAGGCGCTAGGTCGCTATGGCGACTAGAAACTGTCAGCGCAGTGGCATAGCATGGGGGAGGGGGGGACAGCTGGGTACAACGTTTAGAGGGAGTCATGGAACAAGTGTCCCAAAACGGACACCAGTCCTGTCCCTACTAGGCGGCCAGTAGGTGTCACTGTCCCACTTGTGTATATGAAGACAGGGATGGGGAGGGGTGGCGCTGTGAGGGTGTGTTAAAGGAGGAAAGGGGCGGGACTGTGAAGGGCGGTTTGAAGGACATGCAGAGCTGCAGGGTAGTAGGAGGGGTGGTTCAGAGGAGGAGCGGAGCCCCTGGCAGGCAGTGTGCCCTTTTCGGCTCTGGAGCCTCCCGCTCCGGGCTCCTCCTACAGGATCACTATGCGCAAGTCCAGGCCGAGCTTTCCAGGGAGAGTTTCAGCCTCACCTCGGAGCAGGAACCGGCGGTGCTAATTGGGCTTAGCAATGGCCCCGAGCTAGACACTCCCTTGCAGAGGACCCTTCGTTGCTTTGGTTCTCCCCTGGATGGGCTGCGATTGCGAATCAGGTTTGGGCAGCCCAGGAGCACATTACCCCCTGGACAGCCGATGCGGCCATGTATCAGTGCAGCCTATCAATACCCATTACTGCCACCTATCAGTGACCATCAGTGCTGCCTACCAGTGTACCAATGACCATCAGTGCTGCCTACCAGTGACCATCAATGCAGCCTATCAGTGCTGCCTATCAGTGACCATCAGTGCTGCCTATCAATGTACCAGTAACCATCAGTGCAGCCTACCAGTGACCATCAGTGCTGCCTATTAGTGCCCACCAGTGCCACCTACCAGCGTACCAGTGACCATCAGTGCTGCCTACCGGTGACCATCAGTGCTGCCTACCAGTGACGCCTATCAGTGCCGCTTACCAGTAACCACCAGTGCAGCATATCAGTGCCCATCAGTGCCACATATTAGTGCCCATCAGTGCAGCCTACCAGTGACCATCAGTGCTGCCTACCAGTGACCATCAGAGCAGCATATTAGTGTACCAATGACCATCAGTGCCACCTACCAGTGTACCAGTGATCATCAGTGCTGCCTACCAGTGACCATCAATGCAGCCTATCAGTGCCCATAAGTGCCGCCTATCAGTGATACCTTTTAATGCCCCCCACCCAATGCCACCTACCAGTGTACCAGTGACCATCAGTGCCACCTATCAGTGACCATCAATGCAGCCTATCAGTGCTGCCTACCAGTGCCCATCAGTGCAGCCTATCAATGACCATCAGAGCAGCATATCAGTGGCCATCAGAACAGCATATCAGTGACCATGAGTGCAGCCTATCAGTGACCATGAGTGCAGCCTATCAGTGACCATGAGTGCAGCCTATCAGTGACCATGAGCGCAGCTTATCAGTGACCATGAGCGCAGCCTTATCAGTGCAGGCTATGTCATCTAAGTCAGCAAACTTAATTGGGGTCATGAAGTTTTGCATGACTGTGGTAGAGAATTCAGCTGAAAGGGCAGAGGACCCAGGTGCACCTGACAGAGCAAAAGGGAACTCCAAGGATAGGGAATAGTAACAGCAGAAGAGAGCATGACTACAGATATCAGCACTATTAGTAGGAGTGCTACAAACAATCCTGGAGCTTTACATTTTTCCTTTTTTTTTTTTTTTTACACGGTGTCTTTAATTTTTTAAATTGCGATCATGGACAACATCCCTTTTGATAACATGGGCCATGACAGGTACTCTTTACTGAACATTTTGGGTCTATTAGACCCTATATCTCTCCTCTGTCCTTTCACGAATCTGACCAAATCCAGATTGGTTTGAACAGATGCTTTCACAGGCTGGTAGCGACCTGTTTACAGTAGACCAAAACCGGAAGTTACAAAATACACATTGCTTCCGGTTTCTTAGACCATAAAGATGATCAGGGAAGTTCAAGTCCTCGGTCATCTGTACAGTAAGTTAATGGTACTGCCAGCTTCAGTCCTGGGCTCCTCTGTGGAAGGGGACGATGTAAAAGCGATCCAGCGGCTATTTAGCAGCTAGGATTGCTTTTACAAGAAAGATCGTTGCTGGAAGAAAAAAAAAAAAGAAAAGATACCAAGGACATGACTGCAGCCTTTGCCCCAGTATAACCACTCAACCCAAGGACGTACGGGAACATCCTATGAGCAGAAAGTGGTTAAATGATTTTACACTGACTTTAATTTTAACCAAAAATGCAAAGTGAACTAAAAATGTTAACGCGAGCAGACATTTGTTATATCTGTGGAGCACAGTTGCGGAAAACGCACTAATCAGAGTGAATAGTTGCAAGGATTGAAAATCACTCAGCACTGTTTGGAATTACTATTTGTGGATATGGACTAGTACAAACTGTTGCGCTAAATTAATTTATTTAACTGCTTTCCTACAGGGCACTTATACCCCCTTCCTGCCCAGGCCAATTTCCAGCTCTCAGCGCTGTCACATTTTGAATGACAATTGCGCGGTCATACAACACTGTACCCATATGAAATTTTTATCATTTTTTTGTGACAGATAGAGCTTTATTTTTGTGGTATTTTTTTCTTAGTTTTTGTTATAAAATTTTGTAAATAAGTGATTTTTCTCCTTCACTGATGTGCGCTAATGAGGCTGCAGTGATGGGCACTGATAGGCTGCACTGATGGACACTGATGAGGAGGCACTGGTAGGTGGCACTGATGGGCATTGACAGGCACTGAAAGGAGGCACTGATATATGGCACTGAGTGCACTGATATGCGGCACTGACTGGCAGCACTGATAGGTGGCACTGACTGGCACTGATGGGTGGCACTGAAAGGCAGCTCAGATGGGCACTGGCACGTGGCACTGTTCAGCACTGACAGCTGGCACTGATGGACACTGACAGGTGGCACTTCTGGGGCCACACTGATCATCAGTGCCCTGATGATCAGTGTAAATGTCCCCTCCACGGAATGCCGATTACCGGCTCTCCTCTCCTCACGAGCTGTCAGCGTGACTGCTCGTGAGAAGAGAAATGCCGATAACCGGCATTTCCCTGTTTATCAGCTGTGTGATGCACTAGCTGTAATTGAGCACAGGGACACAGCTGATCACATGACCGAGTTGACATCTTTGGCTTTTTCCATGGATCGGTGATCCGCTGTGTCCGAGGGACACAGCGCACCACCGATCGCTGCGCTGCGCGCTCCCTGAGCCGCGCATGCGTGGTGAGAATGGGAGAACGTTATATGACGTCCTTCCAGAACGAGAGAACCACCTTGCGCCCGTCATTGGACTATATGGCGGGCAGGAGGTGGTTAAGAAGTGTGGACTTTAATATATGTTTTTTGTACATTATTATTACACAGTACTAATATTGCACAACATTTGTCTTTGGGAATAATCCCCAAAAGGGGTAAAATTGTAACAATCCTTTGTATACTGTACAGCATTTTGATTGTGGGATTAGCACCCAGCAGAGTGTATTTGAAATTATGCTTTTTTTTTTCACACTTGCACTTCGTATATTTATGTGACTGTATTTTTATACCATCGGGAATCAAGAAGTAGGATTTATATTATTTGTTTATTTTAAGCACATTGGTTGGTAATTTTATGCATGTATTTTATTATTATACACAAGATATGCCATTAGAACTGAGTACCACACTACTATATGAAATTAAAAATGCTTTGATATTATTGGATGAATATATCTTTATTTTGATGTACAATGTTCTGTGGCCCAATAAGCTTCTCTATTTATATTAACAAAGATTGTAAAATAGATCTGTACTCCGTACACTGTCAGAAACACATAGCTACAAAAGAGTAGCAATAGAATTCAACAGGTCTGTTGATAAGGGAAAGGAGAAATCTGGCTTCCCGCTGTTAAATAGCACACAGTATGATGTAATATAGAAATGAAAAGTGAGACAATTGCAAACATGCTGAATGGCTGATTCTGACACAGGTAAAAATGTGTCCCTACTCTGCCTTCTGCTCTGTCTCAGCACTCTTACCTCAAACTCCTTCACCTTTTCCATTGTTATCAGGCGGCGAGACGTGTGGCTGGAAAGCATCTGTTCACAGTTGCTAATAAGTTTCAGGCATGGATGCCGGGGTACAACCTCCTCTGTATATCTAAAAGAAAGCAGAACTTTAAAAATCAGGCAATGAACCACAAGCATTAGCCTTTCAAGAGTATTTCAGAGGCCGTTCTCACTAACACTCCATTGTGTTTTACATACCATTAAGATGATTTACTAAGCCAAGCACATATTGTGAAAGAGATCGACTCAGCTAAGGAAACTGGCAACAAATCGAAAATGCACATCAGTGTGGTAACTTTATGGTTAGTACCCAGAGGACCACTTCTACACCCAGTTTCACAAAACTGATATTCAGATGAATGTTCTGCATATATTGACAAGTAGTGAAAATACTGTAATACTTATACAGCTGCACAATAAATGCTGTATTTATAATAATAATAGATATAATGTAGCTTGTTATGTGCAGAAAGAATGGAAACACATCTGTCAGTTGATCAGCCTACCATACATACAATCTAATCTGATCTAATTGAAGTAAACATTTAAAAAGCTTCCCACAAATGATCTGTAAGCCTATGCTTATAGATGTAACCCAGAGATATCTCTCTTAGTTTGGGTGCCCAATGAGCAAGTTTTGGTAGCGCAATGGCAATACAAAAACTGCGTGAGATTTATTGCTAGAAATTAGCAACAGATTGCTAAACATAGGATACAATGGAGTGTAGACTGTTGGAGCGATTTGCGCAAATGATCATTAAAACAGATAAGGACAACCACACCATCCATCCATTAGAGGCTACATCAGGAAAATCTAATAAATCTGTTTGCAATCACCCAAAAGCCTGGGTTCTGTGGAAATGTGATATGCGGATGAATCAAAAGGACACGTGCAATTCTCTTACCACTATTAACTATTCCTGCTATAGAATACAATGTCCCTTTATTTGTGCCTGATTTGTATGGGGCAGACCTATGAAGAAAAAAGGGCATCTATTTCCCATAACAACCAAAAAGGTTTCATCTTTCATTTAATAATTAATTTACACTGGGACTCATGTTGTTAAGGAATCTCTCTCTCTCTATAATATATATATATATATATATATATATATATATATATATATATATATATATATATATATGGGTTGATGGGTTAAGGACCTTCTATAGCCCTGTCCAACTCTCCTAGAGTAACTGCCTGTCTCCTGGAATCTCCCCCATGCTCTTGAGACTGTATATATATATATATATATATATATATATATATATATATAAATATATATTTATATATATATATATATATATATATATATTTATTTATTTTTTTAATATATATATTTTTTTTTTTTTCAAGATAAGTGCTGACCTCTATTCTAATCATTAAATGGATGCAATGCAAGTTTACCTTTTTTAAGAATAATTATTTGTGTAAAAAGTTTGTGAGAAGGAGAGCAAAAATCCTTTCATGCATTGCAGAGATAGTAAAATAGTACATAGTGTTAGACAAAAAAACCTTTCCTGCTCACAAAATTAAAACATTTACCTATAGACCAGCTTTGCCCTGGGCATCACATACAGGTATATGGAAAATATTTCACAAACAGTCTACAATCGCCTAAGCGCCCACCTCACTGACAACAACCTCCTCGATCCACTACAGTCTGGCTTCCGTCCCCTACACTCCACCGAAACCGCCCTACTCAAAATCACTAATGACCTGCTAACCGCCAAAGCTAATAGCCACTACTCAGTCCTCCTACTCCTCGACCTCTCTGCGGCCTTTGACACAGTTGACCACCCCCTCCTCCTTAATAAACTACACTCCCTTGGCATCAGAGACTCTGCTCTCTCCTGGCTCTCCTCCTATCTATCCCAATGCTCCTTCAGCGTTACCTATAGCGCTACCACCTCCCCCCCCCCCCCCTCTGTTAGGGTCCCCTAAGGCTCTGTCCTCGGGCCTCTTCTCTTCTCCATCTACACCTCCTCCCTCGGCAACCTGATACACTCCCATGGCTTCAACTATCACCTCTATGCCGATGACACGCAAATTTACCTCTCCACCCCCCCAACTCACCCCTTCAGTCTCCGCCCGTATCACCCACCTACTGAACGACATATCAGACTGGATGTCGCTCCATTTCCTCAAATTGAACCTTTCCAAAACCGAGCTCCTGATTTTCCCCCCAGCCCGTGACACCCCCCCCCCCCCCCCCCGTACACCCCCCCCCCACCCTCTCCATCACGACCAACAACGCCACCATCAGTCCCACCAAGCAAGCCAAAGTCCTAGGTGTCACTCTAGCCTCAAACCTGTCCTTCCAACCCCATGTCCAATCATTGGCAAACTCATGCAGGCTCCACCTCCGCAACATCTCCAAAATACGTTTGTTCCTAACCCCAGACACTACTAAACTACTCGTTCACTCCCTTATTATCTCACGCCTGGACTACTGCAACTCCCTTCTCACCGGCCTACCTCATCGCAGACTATCCCCCCTTCAGTCTATCCTGAACTCAGCGGCCAGACTCAAAAATGAAAATACAGGAATATGAGTTTTCATTCAAATCAAAAACTTGTACTTTATAAGAGGGCAAAACAGTTCAGCATTGTCACACATGGTATTCTCTGTAGAGCTGGGTTTTGAGGGTTTTTTTTGCAGCCACCGGTGAGCAAAGCAGTATTTAAATTTGTCAGTTCTTATTAAGTTGAATAAACAATGCCGTAAAAAGGAACTCAACTCTGAAAGCCGTGTCCTTAGAACATGAGGCAGAGGGCAAAGGATTTTATCCCCCGCATTGCCTTTAGTCATCCTGCAGCTGATATTTCCCCATTACTGACTTACCTCCCACGCCCGACTGCACGACTTCTCCAGGACTTCCCCCATCCTCTGGAACTCCCTACCCCAATCCATCAGACTGTCACCTACCCTGCTCACCTTCAGGCGCACCCTGAAAATCCATCTCTTCAGGGAAGCTTACCCCACCCTTACCTAACAGCTGTTCTCCTCCACTCCTCCTACCACTCCATCGCCCACAGCCACTTCCTCCTGTACCTCTACCCCCTCCCTCCTAGATTGTAAGCTCGAAAGAGCAGGGCCCTCGAACCCCTCGTGTATTGTATTGTTACTGTATTGTCTCATGTACTGTCCCCCCAATCTAATGTACAGCGCTGAGCAAACCCTTTAGCACTATATAAACACTGTATAATAATAATATCTTGTTCTGTACAGTGGAAACAGAGCAGGGTGCCAGAGTGGAGTATGTTTAAAAACAACGTTCCATTTGTCACTTACATCTGAAGGACCTGTAGATTGCTCTAAGTGTCAGAGTGGTGGTGCAATATGACAGCTCACAGCAATCTGGATGGACTGATATGGCTGCAGGGTACAAGCAGGGACCAGCTACAAGAAGACAGATCGGCAGTGTCTCTCCTCTCACTCACGGCACTAACAGGAAGGCAGACCATCAAACAGGCTGTGGGGGGGGGGGGGGGGGGGGGGGTGGGGGGGGGGGGGGGGGGGGGGGGGGGGGGGGTGGGGGGGGGGGGGGGGGGGGGTGGGGGGGGGGGGGGGGGGGGGGGGGGGGGGGGGTAGACTGCAAGTGCTTGAAAAAAGAGGCAGGGCCTCAGAAACGCGTTGCAGCCCCCCTCCCTTCCCCCACAGCCTGTCACGTTCTTCTATCTGCCTTCTTGTTACTGCCGTGAGAGGAGAGACACTGCCGATCTATCATCTTGCAGCGGGTACCTGTTTGTACCCTGAAGCCCTATCAGTCCATCCAGATTGCTGTGAGCTGTCATATCGCACCACCACTCTTACATCTGAAAGACCTGTAAACTGCTCCAGGTGTAAGTGACAAATGGAATTAAAGTGTTGTTTTTAACCATACACTAATCTGGTGGCCTGCTCGGTTTCCTTTGTATGCTTGTGAGGGATTACCCAGATACACTGGCTAGGAGCTGCCGGACAGAGGGTGTTTATCTCATCCACCTTTCCACCCATCCATCTACCTGCTTTGTGAACTCTATGCATTATTCACTGTGGACTGTTTAATCACATGTTGTACTGAATACTGTTTGTTGTATACAGTGACTTTGTATGTAGGCAGACATCTTGGTAGAGACAAGGTTTTGCTTCCTCCTGTTAGAACCTTCATCAAGGAGAACAAGGGGCAGCAAGGTAGTGACATCACAAAACTTAGTCCCCTTATGTTACATAGTTAGTCTGGTTGAAAAAAAAAAAAAAAAGTCCATCTAGTTCAACCAGTAAAAAAAGAAAAAAAAAAGTTATAATCCTATACCCACAGTTGATCCAGAGGAAGGCAAAAAACCCAGCAAAGCATGATCCAATTTGCTACTGCAGGGAAAAAAAAATTCCTTCCTGATCCCCCGAGAGGCAATCGGATATTCCCTGGATCAACTTTACCTATAAATGTTAGTATCCAGTTATATTCTGTGTATCGAAGAAATAATCCAGGACTTACTGAGCTGGATGATGTATTTATACATGTTGATCATATCCCCCCTTAATCTCTTCTTCTCAAGAGAGAATAAATTCAGTTCCTCTAATCTTTCCTCCATGCCTCTTATCAATTTGGTTGCGCTTCTCTGTACTTACTCCAGTTCCCCAATGTTAGTGCAGTTAGAGTCAGCATTGACTTAGATCTCACACTGCAGATTCACAGCTACGATGCTGTAAAAAGGAGTGCCTAGGGACACTCACATACCACAAACAGCAATTAAACTATAGACAACTGGTGCACAATTAACGCTTTTTTTTTTTTTATCAGCGTACTAATATATTTTGGAAAAAAACTAATTAAAACAAAAGGATTTGTTTTTTCTAATAACTTTACAAATGCTGATCTAGTTATCTGCACTAACATAACAGTCAACTTTACAACGTCAGCATTCTCACACTTTCTGCGTAAAAAAGGTGAAAGAGCAGAAAATGTTATGGATTCATCAACAAAGATTTTCTCTTTTTTCTTCTCCCCCCTCCAAAAAATGACCTGTTTAAATAGATGTATTAATTTCCTTAGAGCCTAAATAAAACAAGTACTTTGAGATGGCAGTCACAGGCTTAGGAGAAC